ACATATTCTTAGAAAAATACAAGCTCCCAAAACTCAATCAGGAAGTATAAAAAAAACCTGAATAGGCTGATAATTACTGAATAAATTGAAGCAGTGATCAAAAATCTTCTAGCAAACAAAATCTCTGGTCTGGATGGCTTTACAGGGGAGTTCTACCAAGCATTCAAAGAAGAACTAAAACCTATCCTCCTCAGACTATTCCAAAAAATTCAAGAGGCACACTTCCAAGCTCTTTCTATGAAGCCAGCATTACCCCAATTCCCAAACCAGATAGAGACACCACAAAAAAGAGAACTACAAGCCAATACCCTTGATGAACGTAAATGCTAAAATCTTCAACAAAATTCTAACAAATCAGCTTCCGCATTACATTAGAAAGATCATACACCATGACCAAGTGGGATTTATTCCAGGGATGCAAGGATGGTACAATATCCACAAATCAATAAATGTTGTACATCACATAAACAAATTGAGACAAAAATCACATAATCATATCAATCAATGCAGAAAAAGCATTTGGCAAAATCCAACATCCTTTCTTGATAAAAACTCTCAGCAAAGTGGGAATAGAGGAATCATACCTCAACATAATAAAAGTCTTATATGACAAACCTACAGCCAACATCATACTCAATGGGCAAAAACTAAACTCATTTCCCTTAACAAGAGGAACAAGTCAGGGATGTCCACTCTCACCATTCCTGTTCGATATAGTACAGGAAATGCTAGCCGTAGTGATCAGACAAAAAGAACTAAAATGCATCAGAATTGGAAAAGAAGAAGTAAAAGTGTCCTTATTCACAGATGACATGATACTGTACATAGAAAACCCTAAAAACTCCATCAAAAAACTACTAGACCTAATAAATGAATTCGGCAATGTAGTAGGATACAAAATTAACACCCAGAAATCTCTGGCCTTTTTACACACCAATAATGAACTCACAGGAAGAGGAATGAGAAAAAACAATTCCATTTACCATTGCACCAAAAAAATTAAGATATCCTAGGAATAAACTTAACTAAGGAGGTAAAAGACCTGAATCCAGAAAACTACAGGACATTGAAAAAAGAGATAGTGGAAGACATAAACAAATGGAAGAACATACCATGTCCATGGATTGGTAGAATCAACATCATTAAAATCTCCATACTACCCAAAGCAATCTACAGGTTCAATGCAATTCCCATTAAAATACCAACGGCATATTTCAAAGATCTAGAACAAACTCTCCAAAAATTCATCCTGAATAAAAAAAAGATTCCAAAGAGCCACAGCAATCTTGAGAAAGATGAACAAAGGTGGTGGGATCACAATACCAGATATCAAGCTATATTACCAAGCCACAGTTCTCAAAACTGCCTGGTAAAGGCACAATAACAGACATATAGACAAACGGAACAGAAGAGAGATCCCAGAAACAGACCCAAGCCATTGTGCTCAATTAATATTTGACAAAGGAGGCAAGAGCAGATAATGGAGTCAAGACAGTCTCCTCAATATGTGGTGCTGGAAAATTTGGTCAGATACATGCAAAAAATGAAACTAGATCACCAACTTACAACATACACACAAACAAACTCAAAATGGCTAAAGGACTTAAATGTAAGACAGGAAACCATACAAATACTACAAGACTCCATAGGCAGGAAAATAGCAGACATATGTCGTAGCAATATCTTTGCAGACACAGCTCCTAGGGCAATGGAGACTAAGGAGAAAATAAACAAATGGGACTACATCAAAATTAAAAGCTTCTGCACAGCAAAAGAAACCATCAACAAAACAACAAGAAAGCCCACTGCATGAGAGAACATATTTGCCAATGATATTACTGATAAGGGTTAAATCTCCAAAAATTACAGAGAACTCATACAACTTAACAAAAGGAAGATAAACAATCCAATCAAAAAATGGGCAAAAGATCTACATAAACACTTTTTGAAAGAGGACATACAGAAGGCCCAGAGACATATGAAAACATGCTCAAAGTCACCAATCATCTGAGAGATGCAAATCAAAACAACAATGAGATTCCATCTCACACCTGTCAGAATGGCTTTCATCAACAAATCAGCAAATGACAAGTGCTGGCGAGCATGTCTAGAAAAGGGAACATTTATGCACTGCTTGTGGGAATGCAGACTGGTGCAGCCACTATGGAAGACAGTATGGAGTTTCGTCAAAAAATTAAAAATGGAACTCCCATTTGACCCAGTAATCCCACTTCTAGGACTATATCCCAAGAAACCAGAAACACCAATCAGAAAGGATATATGCACCCCTATGTTCATAGCAGCACAATTTACCATAGCTAAGATTTGGAAACAGCCTAAGTACCCATCAGCAGATGAGTGGATTAAAAAACTGTGGTACATCTATACGATGAAATACTATCTATAATAATAAAACTGTAATGTACAAATTGACCAAAGGACCTAACAGAAGAATGACCATCCATACAACCTTCTGGATGACCATGCTATGACACCCACTGGTGCCTGGCCAGCCAAGGTGGGTGCAATGCGATTGGTCGGGGGCCCGGCCATTTCCCCATGATCGCCCTGCAGAGGCAGGCTCAGGCCACTGGCCAGTGGGGCAATCAATCAGGGGACTCCATGATCACCCCAAAGAGGGAGGCCCAGGCCACCAATCAGCGGGCTGTGGCAGGTGTGTGGGGCCTCCCCCTGCGGGGGCAATCAATTACGGAGCCCCGGCTGGGTGGGTAGGGCCTACCTCTTTAAGCCAATCAATTGTGGGGTTCCCAGATTGTAAGAAGGCACAGGCCGGGCTGAGGGGACCCCCCCTCCAGTGCACGAATTTCATGCACTGGACCTCTACTGCCGCTATTAAAAAAGGAACTTTTACCATTTGCAACAGCATGGATGGAAATGGAGAGCATTATGCTAAGCGAAATAAGCTAGTTGGAGAAAGATAAGTATCACATGATCTCACTCACATGTGGGATATAATGATCAACATAATTTCATGAACAAGAACTGATCCAGAGACAAATGGCAGGGGAGTGGGGGGCGGGGTTAGAGATCAACCAAAGGACTTGTTTGCATGCATATTAGCATAACCAATGGACACAGACACTGGGGCGGTGGGGGCTTGCCTGGGGTGGGAATGGCTGTAGAGGGTCAATTGGGTAAAAAGGAGACATATATAAAACTTTAGACAATAAAAATAAATAAATAAAATAATAAAATAAAATAATCTAAGATAAAAAATAACATCTAAGTAGGTCTTACTCACTGCACTCATGCATCTACTGCTCAACAAATTCATCTTATAAGCTAAATTCTTATAGATATGAGTGAAATTCAAATGTTACTTTCAGTGCTCTTTAGGACATCTTTGTTCCAACCTGAGTTTAAAAAATGTTTAGAAAGAAGCTGTAAAAGCCATTTAGCATATCCTATAATATTTAAATTTTTATTCTCTTAAAAAATCAAGATCAAATTGAAGGCTTCATAATGATTCCTACCCAAGTTTTTAAACCTTAAACTATTCATGGTGTCTTTTTTTTTTCTTTTTTCTTAAAGACCTTTATTCCCTCTTATTTTATCCTTCTTGGAGATGAAGAACAGTTTGTTATATTCCTTCTTAATTTAAATTGTTCAATAAAAGACTCAATAACTTATGATTTATTAAACTATCTCAACAGCTTTCTCCTTTCCAGAATTAAATGATCTTATTTTTTTTCTAACTTTTTCTCAGAGGTCTTATTTTTCAATCTATATTTTATTCCTTTTCATTGCTGCTATATTCCCTCCCCAGTTCCCATATGATCCTAAGAAACAGCCTCCTCTCAGAAACTGAATCAGTAAGAGGGGTACTTTTTCTCATGCCTTAAAACATGGCCTCTTTAGTGGTCACCAATAAAAGAAAACAAAGGTTCACTACTCATTCATCATCACAAAAAATAAACACAATTAAACAACTTGAAAATAAATAAATAAATAAAAAATAATAGGTAAATTGTTACAAAAATCAGTCTTGACATCCCAAACTGACTGTAGTCGGTACTCCGTTTTTTCCAAGACTGTGAGGCAGGTGAAGGCTGCTGCTTACCTCTTTTCTCGGGACTCCTCTGCAATTTTCTAACACTAGGCATCTATCCCAATTTCTGGAGTTCTGTTTGCTTAAGCATTTGATTTTTTACATTTAGTTGTTATTTTGATCCCTGGTAAAATAATAGCTCTCTGATCTTTGGGCATCATCATTTTCCAAGGGAAAATTCTCTGAAGAAAATTCTCTGAAAAACACACACACACAAATACTTCAAATGAAAGAATATACTTCTGATAAAGTGTCAGGTTGTAGGGTAGATTATTTGAGCAGATGACTTTTCCCATTTCCTTTCAAACTGAAACTACCTGCTTAGTAGCTTGGCCTTGATTCCAATGTATATTTCTTCCCTGGATGTTGAAAAGCTAGGTTGTGAGAGAGACATAGAGTAAGTGGCAAGATATATGATTTTACCTGTCAAATCTCCTGATGATGCAGGATATTGTTCTTTGAAAACAGTCCATGCACTATAGTATACCAATGTGGTAAAAAGTGTGGTGTTAGAATCAAGATGAGCCAGGGTTTATATTTTTGACTCTATGACTTTCAAGCTTTGTTGTTTTTCACTATTAACCTATGCCTTGATTCCTTCACGTTGTATAAAAAAAAAACAAGGATAATAAAAGTATCTGTCTCATACAGTTATTGTAATGATCAAGGAGATGTACTAGTATGTCTGAGGATCTTAGCCTAGTTCTTGACAATTTATCATTGTCTTATTATCATTGTCATTAGCGTCACCACCACTATCACCATCCACATCACTCCCAGATTCCTACTGTAACAGAATAACATTATAACCTCTTGCTAAAGCAACTACCAGCCACTGGCAAAGGAGGAAAAGAGGACACAGGAATCCCAGTTGCATTCACTGCTTCCTACTCTTACACTAATCCTCATGTCTCTGTCCCTGTTTCTACAGGTACCTGTAGGCTTGGTTGGGCCTATTACTGTGCTGGAGGTGGAGCAGCTGCAGCCATGTTGATCTGTACCTGGCTCTCTTGCTTTGCTGGAAGAAACCCCAAACCTGTAATGCTGGTGGAGAGCATCATGAGGAACACCAATTCTTATGCCATGGAGCTTGACTACTGCCTCAAGCCTTGAGCTTTGGTGGAAGACTGGAAAGGGTGGGAAAGAGGAGGGAAGGGAGCCTTGAAAAGAGGTACTAAGACTAGACCAGTTGCCACCCACCTGTCAGCAGTGTAGCCTAGAGTTGCATGCTTTTTAACTCACCAAATTCATCTTATAAGCTAAATTCTTATAGATATGAGTGAAATTCAAATGTTACTTTCAGTGCTCTTTATGACATCTTTGTTCCAACCTGAGTTTAAAAAATGTTTAGAAAGAAGCTGTAAAAGCCATTTAGCATATCCTATAATATTAATTCATTTTCACTTCCCCTTAAGCCAGTGGGTCAGTGACTACTTACAAAATTCATCAAGATATATGATTTTCTCAAATGTTTACCTAGCTGGTGAGTACCCACTAGCCCCCAAGTCCTAAAGTACTCCTTTATGAAAAATAAGGAGAAGATCCTCACTTGAAATGTAACTGCACAAAGCTATATAAGAACACTCGAGCAGGAAGGGACAAGGAGATGAACAGGGCTGGTTCCTGCCATTCCATTCTTATGGCCCTCCCCCTAATACTGATTACTATCTATAAAATGCCACTGATCAAATACTTGAGACTTTCTCAGGAATATACCTTGACTCTTCCTCTTTTATCTGGCCTCTTTTCCTTTTCTTTTGTGAGCTTGTGGTGAGGGTAATTATCAATAAGGAAAATATTAACCAAGGATACTTATTTAGTCTAAGACTCTTTCCTCATTATGCTCTAGAATATTCATAAGAGTTCATTTTGTGTTTTGGCTTGGTGACTGGCAATAAAATATAGTGGCAAGTATTCTGCTAGTCCTTTATATATTCAGAAATGGTGTTCATTAAATGTTGTGAGCATATAATAGCACTTGTTGTGCACTCAATAAACATGGTTTTATGATGATGATGACAAGAATGTTTCTGCTGACTCCTTACTGAAATTTCTATCAGAGTTCATTTTTACTGAGTAAGAAATCCACAGTGGCCTTTTGCCCCTGTAGTCATTCCTACCATGATATGTTTCTCTGCCTATTTCAAAAATTGCTCATCAAATGCTTTCCCCTCCATCTGGGGTGAGCTAGACAAAAGAATACAGCCTTGATGTCACCAAGGGCTGATGTATTTTTAGGCCTGGCCACCATCCCAAATGTGCTCAAGGCTGATGGATGGTATAGAAGAACTTGTCGCTCAGGGACAGAATTTATTTCTCCCCCACACCCAACTAATTCAGGCCAGCTCTACTGTTCCATAACTACAGCTTTAGGGATTAGGCAGGGCCTATGACTCAAAAGGCCAGCTCTTCTGTTTTTATTTTTAATTACTCCAGAGTGTTGGGGTAAAAGAAACCCTGTTGTTACAGTCCATTGAGGTCAGGTTCCTTTGGCACAAAGCATGGCAGAGAAAGGCAGAGCAAGGACCTTGGGGTCATGAGGGGCAAATGGAAAATAGCAGCTCAGTGAGTGTTCTTAGCTCCTGATGCTACCAATTCCTAACCCATTGCTTCCCAAGAAGTCAATGCTTTGCTGCTCTCCCTGGCCCAGATACCTAAACACCAGTGAACTAGTTGCACCCTAGAGAAGTGACTGTTCAAGAAAGGGTTAATTTAAAAAGAGCCATTTTAAATGACTGCCACTTTGTATAAGGTCCTAGTCAGTTGGAATGTTTCCTCTCCTTTTCCACAAAAAGAGGATAGAATTTAAAAAGATTTTTTTTTCTGTCAAGAAACTGGGCCTGCAGGGCCTTACATTCAAAGAGGGATCCAGTCCCTTGTTCAGTTTGAATTTAAATTCCTTCCTGCCTGCGTCTGATATTTTTCTTGCCAGGCCTTGTATTTTGCATAGATGTTTGATTAGCTTGTTTTTTCTCTATGGTCTGGAGCAGGCTCTTGAAAACTAAGCTTACCTGGTCTGGCTTCTGTTGAGCAGAGGAAGTAGAGCCCATAGGTCAGGTGGAGGGCTGAACAAATGAAGTGAGGACCTCAGAGACTGGTTTGTCCTATGCCTGGCTGGTTGTCATGCTCCCTGCATGTACACAAATGGAATGCCTAACCATGGGTCCTTCCTGATTTTTGGAACCACTTAGATCTTATGTGTTTTTTTTTTTTGGGGGGGGGGGCGGGGGGCTGAGAGAGGTGGGAGGTTTTTCACCCGGGCTAGCTCACAATCAACTGAGTATTCATTAAGAGTCCGTTTAGCAGAAATGGTAGTTGGGCAGCAACTGCCTGACTGGCACGTGTCTGTGTCTGCAGGGTTACAATTTCTACACCTGGTGTGGTCCTTGGTATATTGCAAGTGTTAAGTCACTCAGGTCTGTCTTGAGTGGTGCCCTCTCCTTAATATCACTCATCATCCCTGTTCCCATGGGTAGTAAGCACCTCCATTCATTTATAGCTTCTGGTGTCTTCCTGGCAGTGGGTTCTCACCTTGCAAGAGCATGAGCTGTGAACCAAGACAGACAGGACAGGCTCTGGCCTCTGGGAAAAGGAGTTCTGGCTTCTGCAAGAATAGGTGGCAATAGGAGGTTTCTGGAGGAGGGGAACCCTGGAAGGGTAAGAGGATGAGGAAGCTTCTGGCAAGCAGAGGCTTTATACACTCTCCAACAAATTACCCTAAAAGGGAAAGGCCTGCCCCTTCAGAATGTGATAAGGATACTTTCTTCAGTATGGCATTCACTCCTGGTAGAAATTCTAATGTGGAGAAGCTTTAGGACCGTTTTAAGTCCCAAGGCAGACTGTCAGTGGGAAAAAAATGGAAGTTTCAAAAAACACACAATAGTGAATGCATTTGTAAAAGATGGAAGGCATCCCACTTGGTGGCTTGAGGGAAAAGGTGTGCTATTTTTAGAACTCACAATCAATCTCCAACCAGGCCTAGTAAAGCTTTCTTAACAGACAGGAGGCAGGACACTTCCAAAAAGTCATCTCTGCCCTGTGTCCTTGGTTTGAAAGCATTTTTTTTAAAGCTGGATTGGTGCTGATGTTGAAGAATATTTATTACTGGCCTCTCTTTCAGATGTAGAGAGATGCATTTTCAGATTTAATTTTCATTTTGTCTACTTATGAGATTATGCTCTCCCAGAGTTGATCTCTTTTCTAAACACATTGAACCCCCACTGAGTCCTCAAAGCTAACATCAAATAAACAGTTGCTATGTGTGCACACAAATGATTTAGATTTTCATTATACAGAACTGCTGATGTGTCAGGAGGAAGTAGGAGGAGACAAAATGCTTGGTTTTGACTGCAGCACCGTGTCCTGCTCCTCCTCCCTCTACAGAAAGGAGCCCCCAGAGAATAGTACTTGGGGTAGAGGGATATTGAGGTCAACTAGCATCCATAGGGCAGCTCCCAATGTTGGCTCCTTTTCATGTAGTGACTCTCCTTCCTGAGGAGGTGGTGGTAACTACAGAAAGGAAACAAAGAAAGGTAGAAAGATCAAGGGGAATAAAGAGGGGGTAGATAAAGAGGTAAATATTGGAATCATTCCAGAAACATGTTGCCTCCCACTGAGGCCTACTAGAATCTCATTTGGGAACTTTAAATTTATTTCCAAGATATCTCTCTGTATCTTCCAAGCTAAAATATTTCCCCTAGATAACATAGTAAAGTGAAGACAGTAAGGCTTTGGAGTCACACAGACCAAGGTTTGAATCCCAGCCCAAAAACTTCTGAACTCTGTCTTTGGGCAAGTTACATAACTTCTTTGTATTTACTAAATTTTATAAGACAGTATATCCTGTCTGCTGTTGGACTCCACTCTCCCCAGGAACTACAGAAGACATTTACTCTCCAATGACCCCACACCTTCCAGTTTGCACAGTGATTTTTAATCCTGGTTCACAACAGAATCCTCTGAGAGGCTTTTAAAAAGTTTGATGGCAAAAAAAAAAGTTTGATGGCTAGGTGTCACCCCAGTTCAACTGAGTCTGAATTTATGGGTGCTGCTAGACCATACTACAGTATCTTCATCATTGATATAATTTACTGACCTCCTAGTCATCTTTCATTTATTGAAAACTTCAGACACCTATTTTACTCTCTTTTTCATTCCTATTTCTGTCAGCCTTTTGTAAACTTCAACATCCATGCGAACCACTCTACCAACTTCTTGGCTTCTAAGTTCATTGACTTCTTTACCTCCAATGATATTTTTCTTCCACCCAACCACTGCCACTCCCATTCTTGACATCACCAACAAATGCAACATCACCAAAATCCAGCTTTCAAGTCTCCCATTCCTGACCAACACTTCTTATCCTTTCAGCTCATGTTCTTTAATATTTTCACTCTATCAACTCTGACTCCATGCTACTTACCCAGTCTAGAATCCATAGTTCATCAATATATTCACCTCTTAAATAAATATTCCACTTTTTGCCTCTTATTCACCTTGTCATATATTTGTCCAATAAAGCCATAATTGTGGTTAAATGTAATAATCTGCCTGATCTGAACTTCCATCAAATTTTCAAACATTGACAAAAAAAAACACAAGAATTGTTCTTGCGAGGAACCAAGATGGTGGCATAGGTTAACGCTGGAGATTGCTGCCTTGAACAACCAAATCAAAATACACCTAAAAGGCAGAACGGACATCATCCAGAACCACAGGAAAGCTGGCTGAGTGGAAATTCTACAACTAGGAGGAAAGAGAATATCATACCCAGACTCAGAGGAGGCGCAGTGCTGAAGTGAAATACTCAGGTACGGAGTGCGCGCAGAGTGGGCTGGCGGCGGAGGGCACGGTTGGTGCTTTCAATCGGAAGGGAGTCTCAGATTCTGAGCTCCAGATCCAGGTAAGTCTCTAGGGACCCAGACTCAAACGGGAGAAGCGGGACTGTCTGGCTTCAGTCGGAACTCGAAGGCAGCTTTCTTTCCGAGGTTTGCAGCGGTTGCTGGGACTCTGTGAGGCAGAGCTCCTAGGGACGGACCGGAGAGCCGCCATAACTGCTCTCTCCAGCCCACCCTGTTTATCCCGAGCCCCAGCGACCCACCCGCCCCGCCAAAGCCCTGCACAGAGCCATTTGCCAGATAGCCTCAGGCAAAGGCTAGATTAGCACCTCCCTAGAGGACAGAAGTTTTCCCACTGCAGACACAGCTGATTCTCACAGCCAGCTGGCCCGGAGGTCAAATCCCCCTAGTATTAACTACAACAATCAAGGCTTAACTACAGGAGGACTGCACACAAATACCACTAGGGGGTACACCAAGAAAGCATAAAAAATGCGGAGACAAAGAAACAGGACAAAACTGTCAATGGAGGATATTGAGTTCAGAACCACACTTTTAAGGTCTCTCAAGAACTGTTTAGAAGCCGCCGATAAAGTTGAGATCCTCAACAAATCCAATGAGACCCTCGATGTTATGATAAAGAACCAACTAGAAATTAAACATACACGGACTGAAATAACGAATATTATACAGACTCCCAACAGCAGACCAGAGGACCGCAAGAATCAAGGCAAAGATTTGAAATGCGAAGAAACAAAAAACACCCAACCGGAAAAGCAAAATGAAAAAAGAATCCAAAAATACGAAGATAGTGTAAGGAGCCTCTGGGACAGCTTCAAGTGTACAAACATCAGAATTATAGGGGTGCCAGAAGATGAGAGAGAGCAAGATATTGAAAACCTATTTGAAGAAATAATGACAGAAAACTTCCCCTACCTGGTGAAAGAAATAGACTTACAAGTCCAGGAAGCACAGAGAACCCCAAACAAAAGGAAGCCAAAGAGGACCACACCAAGACACATCATAATTAAAATGCCAAGAGCAAAAGACAAAGAGAGACTCTTAAGAGCAGCAAGAGAAAGAAACTCAGTTACCTACAAGGGAGTACCCATACGACTGTCAGCTGATTTCTCAACAGAAACTTTGCAGGCCAGAAGGGAATGGCAAGAAATATTCAAAGTGATG